ATAGCATAAAAAATGGAGACTCTGCGTGTTCCCGGTGAGACGAAAAAGAAAGAGGAAAAAAGAAAAACTTACCAGAGCTTCCGAAGTATCCTCATAACTTTGTACCTTGGAATTTCACACTGTCCGGCTCGTTCGCTCTCGCGTTCTTTACCGCGTCATCGATGCGAAGAATGTGATTTTGCCTCGTCGAAACGTGCATTCTGTGGTGCAACCGGCGGAATCTCACGGAGTGAGAAAAAATTGACATACTTTGGAAAATCGCAGGACAATCGACCTCCGCTTCGCGAAATCGACCGGTTTTTCAGGAACTCGCGGAATCTCACAGGACGAAATCGGAGCGCAATTTCGCGCAATTTCGCGAATAATTACGGATCACAGAACAGGGATCGCTCGGCAAAAATCTGAATTCGCGCTGGTCGCGATGTTTATTTGCAGGCACGCGGTGTATGCCTCGCGCATGCTATGCGCGGATTAAACGGAGCTTTCAATCTCGTCCGAATTATCGGCGAGTGTTTCGCCGAACAATTATTCCTCGTTACGATCTTTTTGCTCGGACGCCGCGCGATGCCGCGCGATACCGCGCGCGCTCGTCTAATTAATAAATAAAACGCGAATAAATCGAGCGGCTCAAAGCGCGCGAGACGAACGGGAGGCGTTTTATTACAGAACTCGCCGATTAATGACGCGATTATGCTTGATCGCGAGCGTGCTTTCAATAGCGCTCACGTAAACAGCTCTATTCGAGCGCTCATGCTCGCGATTCCTTTCTCAACGCCGCGGACCCGCCGCGACCCCGCTAAAGCGGAAAAATACATTAACGCGTCAAACACCCTCCTCCTCCGCCGCCACCCTCTCCTCCGTCCGTCCTCGTCGCCCACCTGCCCACGCTGTCCCCCGCCCCTTCTCCCTACTCCGTCCCGCTGCCGCTACCGTTTTAACTCGCGCGGTGTCAAGCGCACACGCCTCCTCCGTCGAGTGACCGGGGCACTGCATCGAAAATATCGCGTAAAACGTTTCATGGGATATTAAAAAATAATAAATTACATTAAATTTCAATCTCTCTAGGTCGAGCGGTATTAATGATGGCGCGCGGTGTCAAACGCACGCCCCGGCATGCGTGCGTGCGCCGAATAAGATATACGTTACTGAAAGTGTCGAAAATTTCCGCGCGTCATCCCGGCCCATCGGCGCGTGAAACACTTTGAAAAATATTTCCACCTTCTCCCCCTCCCACAGATTTGATTTCTCCCTCTCTGGCTCCGGCAGTGAAAGAGAAGAGGAAGAGAAAAATTGGCGAGGCGGGGGTTACCGAGGGGGTTAATACGTTGCTGTTGAATTATGCGCCGATCCGTTCACTTCTTTGTTCGCGCGAAAATCGGATTGATCTCACCTGTTTATTAATCGCTCGATCGCTCTAATAATCGCCTTTATGGACGCATTCGTCGGTCGCATGAACGGACCTCTCTGTTTCATTCGGTGGGTCATTAGCCGAGAACGGCCAGTCCGGTCTTTCAATCATTCTTCAAACCGGAGAGACGCGATCGATCTTGCTTTCGGATTTCGTAGTATCAGTCGTACTGTCGTATCATAGAAATTAAAAAAATATAGAATGAAGCATGCTATCGCGTGCTGTTTGCGAAAAGTGCACGGAAATCAAGTCTAGTTTCTGAGCCGTAACTCGTGCGGCTAACAATGTGTTGATATGAGAGAGAGAGAGAGAGAGAGAGAGAGAGAGAGAGAGAGAAGCGCAACATTGATTGTGTTTCCCCGATAGATAGAACGTTTTCTCTCTGTCAGTTACTTTACTGCTTGTTATATTCTTTATATGATATATAATTTATAATATATATGATACATAATTTATACGATATGACATGGAAATATAAGAAATTATGATATTATATCATATTGATATATGATATATTATAATATGATATTAAATGTCATACGTTGCGCGCACATATTATGTATTATACAAGGTGTCCGGGATCTTTTGGAAACTGTAAAGAAATTGTTAAGATTAATCAGATCAAACTGAGAAGAAAAATCATGTACCATTTTGCAAAAATCGCAATAGTTATTAAGTTATTAATGATTGAGAATGACTACATCTAGAGATTCTTTTAATTAAAAATTTGCGTACTTATTTGCAAATTAGTAAAGTTTTTTGTTCAGAATGAGTTAATCTACAATTACATGACGGCTATTGTGTCTAGCGATAAATATGAGTATATTGAACTTTGAACCTTGAACTTGTCGCTAAGCGACAGTTCTGAACAAAAAGGTCCTTTGCCATTTTGCAAATGTATGCAAATTTTCAAGTTATCAATTAAAAGAACCTTTAGATGTGGTAATTTTTATTCATTAATAACTTCATGACTATTGCGATTTTTGCAAAATGGTACTTGACTTTTCTTTTCAGTTTGACCCGATCTTTACAATTTTTCGTTTCCAAAAGATCCCGGACAGATCCTGTATATCATATATCTTGTTTTTATATCGTATTATACCCTAAAAAGGCTTTTACTGTAAATAAAGATCATTAATAATAATAATAATTATTATTATTACTATTATTATAATATCATACCATATACAGTCTGTTCAACAAGAAAGCGTTGGTGATAATCTGAAAAGAATAAAGAATAAAGTCAAGTGGTTTTTTAAACAAAAATAGAAGATTTTTAATAATGCTCAATTATCTAATATTTGATCCCGTCGCTTCCATTATCAATTATTGCTTGGCACTGTTTTTGCATATTTTTGGCCAGATTTTCGGCGTATTCTGGTAATAAAGAACGCCATATTGTTTTTATTTTTATGCACAGTTGCTTAAAAGTGAAGACACGCTTTCTTTTAAATTTCATCTTAAGGTATGACCACATTTTCGATGGGATTTGCGTCTCGATAGAATACCGGCCAATCCATCATAGTTATGCCATTTTCGAACTTTTCTGACAGCAGTGGTTTTTTCATGGTGGACCGAAATGTGATGATGCCGGATCATTTTCATGCAGGCGACTTCTGATGGTATTAAGCGAAATATGTTCACCTTTTCGGCGAAGTTTTACTTGGACCTAACGCAGGGTAAGACTGGGATTCGTCTGAAAAAGACACTTTAGAAAGATCGCTTTGTTCTCCTTCGAAGTTGTTGTATGAGACAGCCCACTTTCTGGCAGGTCGTCAACATTTCCAGCGGTTTTGAATTTATTTACTCACTTCCTTACGAAAGCCTCTGACTTCTTAATTGCTCTAGCAGTTGTCGCGATTGTTAATTTTGGTCCTTTAGAATGGTTAATAAGAAAAACCGCCTCCTGACGCTTCAAATATTTTACACTTATTTTTAAAAATAATGTTTACTTTTAATAACTACTCAATGCAACTTTTTGACGTACACTGCGCAAAAGAAGTTAGATTCAAGATTCAAACGGTATAAGGTAGATGGTGCTACCATGATTTTCTACAAAAATATCACCAACGCTTTTTTGTTGAACAGACTGTATTACATCATATCATATCAAATTATATTATATTTAAACTTATATGCATTTTAATGCTGATGCGGAGAACAAGGAAACGAGTGAAACGCATGCAAGATGGAATCAGAACGAGCGAATTTATAATCGAAAGCAACGATTCTCACAGCTCCCATCTGTCGTTTCTTCGTTCTCGCTAAACGGTGTTCTCGTGAATTATCATCTGCGGAACGCCACAGTGTCCTCGAGGGTACGTTGTTGCCCTCGATGAAGGTGAGTCCGCGACAGTGTCAAGCGCACACCTCGGCGGCGAATGAGAATTCGGGAAGCGGTTTAGGTAGATCAATTCGCCGCGGACTGGGGGTCAGCGATTCGCTCAAGGTAGAACGCGTATAATAAAGTGGCTAATGGGGCGGTTACGGCGAGGGTGGAAGTGCGCGCGGGGCTGTTGGACGGGAGTCTCGGTGTGCGTTTGACGTTGGCCTGTTCGCCAGTCCCGTGAACGCGTAAGTCTTTAACGCGGCAAAATAGTGGCAGCCTCGTGTTATATCGTTCAATGATGAGTGACTTACCGTAGATTATCGTCGTGCACGACGGGCCTTTATCCTCGTGGGTAACTGTGCGTGAAACTTGCGCTGTACATAACGAAGAAAAAAAAAGAATTTTGGGAGGAAGTAACGGTGTCTGAAATTTGTGCAGATCTTGTTGCACAAATTGCAATCAGTCAAGTTGAATAAAAAGCCAGACCGACAATTTGACGTAGGAGTGGAAATTATATATCGGCATTTCAGTTGTTATATGCCATTGAAATCGAATTTGGCACATGGGCAGCAAAAGTACTTTCAACGAAAACACGCTTGCCTTGTTTATTGTCACGTTCGTTCAACCAATCTTTCCCCTCTGTATAAAATTTGATCAGAGATGAAACGAGATTCACGAGACTGAAACGTAATTGTTGCATGTGATACAGATGTCAGCTTTTCAGCTTATTAAAAGTTTGATCTGATTATACGAGTAATTCTGTCCTTGGTAGAAGGTTAAGTGAATCAGACTAATTAATGCAGAATCATTAAATATATGAAATATATATAAAGCTGTCGTCTGCAAAATATTGTTTCATACACCTCACTCACGGTCTCGAAGACATTTACCCGACTTGCCTTCGGGGGATCGATTCAAAAACTTTAAAAAACTGTGTGACACGGAATATATAAAAAATACGTCTTTCATTTTTAGGTACTTTATGTACACAAAGCCTATAACGGGATCAGTGAGGAGCACTTCCGTGTGCTTCCTTGTAAGCCTCCGCTCCCTCCACCGCTTTAATCCTATATCGATTTTTAGTCATTAACACCCTTTTTATGAACATTTCATGAGTATATCTTGTATATATTTTTTCTAGTAATATAAGGAAAGAGAAAAAGCAGCAGTTTTAGAGAGAGAAAAGGGGGGAATGCCTTTACGATCAGATTTCTTCGCAAACTGTTAACGGCCCGGGGTCGGGCGCGCGGGTTGTGTTCGCAGGTGAAGATCTGGTTCCAAAATCGACGTATGAAGTGGAGGAACAGCAAGGAGCGGGAGCTGCTGGCGACCGGTGGCTCACGCGAGCAGACGTTGCCGAACAAGAACAACCCGAATCCGGATTTGAGCGACGCCGACGGCGATAGGCCGAGGATGGACCTGAGCGACGTCAGTCCGCTCACGAGCCCTCAGAGGCCCGAAGAGCAGACGGAGAACGAGGAGGACGAGGAGATCAATGTCACGTGATAAAACAACCTCGCTCTGTCCGGCGTATGTTCCCCCGTGCAGCTCGAGGAGAAGTAGTAGACAATTCTTAATTCCGGAGGCAGACCCAAGTATACATATACATATACCGGCTGGACCAAAAAATAAATTAAAAAAAGAAAATGAAAAAGTCACGGACATAAAGCGGATTTTGCGGTGGAGACGCTCGCGGAAAAATCGCAAATAGAGAGAGAGAGAGAGAGAGAGAGAGAGAGAAGGAGGAGGAGAGAAGAGGGAGAGATTCAAAGATTTCCTCGTTTCCGACGCGTTATATTATATATCGCGGATCGCGATTTTCAATGCCCGTCGATCATCGCCGTTTCTTCTTGAGCTATACTTTGGGCCATCCGGTATGCGTTACAGTCTAACAACGAAAAATGTGCAAAGGGGAGAAGACGAAGGAATGAACGAAAGGGAAGGGAAGAGAGAGAAAGTAAGAGGGACAGAAATATCGCGCCAGTTCGAAGGAGATTGCTGTTAATTTTAACCGTGCATTTTCCAGTTGTCCGATTTTTCAATTGCCGACTGTATTTCCGGATAATTGGATCGCTCAAGCGCGCTCCAGATTCATCGTACGGCAGAAGAAACCCGATCAATCTGCGCGACGCTATGTCATCTACATTCATGGAAACTCGCGTGACATTCTTGTGTTTAATGAAACGTTGAGTGTGTTTAGTCCGGCCATAGAAGCATCGGCTGTTTCTTCTTATTTCACGAGGGAGGCGAAGAATTATACTCGTATAGTTCCGCAGTATTGGATAGATGAATAAATATAGATGTTACCACTTGAAGATAGTCCGAACGTTAGACGCGATTAGTGGACCAGCTTTAACGACGATAAACGACAGAAATAGCGGCATACCCGATCGAAACGGACATCTCGAAAGCAAAACATTCATTCCTCGCGGCCTCGCAGATGATTGTTAATTAATCCACTTTACTACGACGACTACGTATGTATTGGGCGAAAGTATTGCGATGTTGAAAAGCGGGAAGAAAATATTATACATTTGAAAAAATTTATATCGCAAATAGAGACTTACAAAGAAGGGCAGCTTCTACTCCCTTATTCTTCGCATGCATAAATCGTAAAGCTTAAAACAGCACCCGAGAAAAAGAAGATCATGTATCAATTTGATTCATATATGGCTATGTATAAATCATGCATAATCATATATGTTCATAACGAAAAAAAAATGCAAATATAATCGAAGCAAATACTTATACGTCTGTCAGATAGGTTTATTTCGATAAAATTATTTCTTCTTTTTTCCGTTTAATATCATTCTTTTTCTATATGGACATGTATGATAATACATGTGACCATATATAAACAAAATCTGTATGCAATTTACGTATAATCATATCTAATTTTATATAATTATATATAATCATATATGATTTTCTTGGGGCATAATGGATCTGCGGCCTATACTCACGTCATTCAATGCTAAATGGAGCTTTCCAATACAATTGGATATAATTGGCATCAAAAAGCGATATTTATATTAATTGGATAATTAGATGAACCATTACAGCCCACATTTAGTAATAAATGAAGGCGTGGATACGAACCATTATCGTTTTTCTGTTTTTGATATCGCAGAAACATGCAACACGTCACATGGACACTTTATAATATTTCGAAACGTATTTAATATGCAACGACAGAACTTTTAAAAATTATTAAAAATATGTTCCATTCACCGGGTATTATCTGCTGCATTTCATGCTATACCAAAATACATAAAAAAATGTTAGTATAATAATGAAGCCAAGTAAACATTCGTCTAACACAGAGAGTAATATTTTTGGAACATAAAACTGGGTCAAAAAGAGAAAAAAGAACAATTATCTTCTTAGAAATATCTTCTAACACTTTAATTAATTTCGCCTACGTTTTTCTTTGTACGTCCACACTCTGTGATTTTTCTTTCTTTTTCTTTTTAAAATTAATCCATACTACTCACAAGTTATGTAAAATCTTAAAAATATAATACAATATGGAAAAGTCGAAGATGTTTTGACGAAATGAATGTTGCGTTCATCATATTCAACATCAGAGATTGGAGAAAAATGATCAGAATTATTGCGATGAAAGATTTTGCCGATAATAATAATAGGAACCAGTAGTGAAAACCAGAGTGAAAAGAGAGGAAAGGAAGAGAAATTTTCGAGCGGCAGTTGGAATGAATTTAACAAATGACAATTATCTTCCCTCTTCCCCCGTGATTTTTTATAATTTAATTATTTTATAGTTAGGGTTTCGACGATTCTACGCTCAAAATAAAATTATCGTATTCATAACTGTCCAAAGTGGTAATCGTTGCATGAGGCCTGTGCTTGAAGTGCTTGAAGTAGACAAAGATTGAAGAGCTTCCTTTTGGGCCAAAATTGTTTCACCACGGTTCTGAAGGGCTTGACGAGTTCGTCCAAATACGCAACAGTGGTGCTCTGCGAGAGATAGGAGATACGGATGGCGGTCGTATCGTCGCGGAATACAATATAAGGGAGTCGAAGCCGTTTCGATAATATGGATATTGCGTTTGTCACATCCGAAATTAAAGGTTGGACGTAAAGGGTTCAGTTGATAACAATTAAAATGATTAAAATTAAGGATGCTGTTAGAATGATATGTTGAGCGTAAAAAGGTTTTGGGCGGAAAAAAAGAGAAAAAAGAAACAGAGCTTAAATTTTTAAACGACAGTTTATTAATATGAAATGAATTTGTATTAATTAAACAATCACAATAATCATAAATGTAACTATATATTCTCTTACCATCTGCTTTGCTATGAATATGATAAAAATAATAAAAACGGAATAATGAAAAAAAATCATTTTTTAGCAACGTGTGTAACCATGTAAACGGCATATTTCACTATATTTGTAACTCCAAATTATCATAGATTTAGTAAAAAAAAGAAAGAAAAGGAAAAAAGTACAACATATACAAAAGCGATAAGAAAATTGAATATATTTTTTAAATTAAAAATTAAAAAACTAAAACCAGATGAATATTGTAGATTCAATTATATATAAGAAGGTTCTAACTATTACTACTCTAACCCGAGTAGAAATTATTATTAACAAGAGCTGATCTCAATAAGTTTTAATTAAATTAACACATGATATTAAGAAAATTTCGGGCAAAAGTAAGGATAAATTTCTACTCGACAATATATAATACAATGAACATTTGTGGGTGGTGTATCTTACTTTCAATTTGATCTGCTATAACAATATTTGATAACGTTTTACTTTGTGAAAGTTTCCTTTTGATATACAATAACTGTACTCTACATATGGTTACACACGAAAATCATGTTATAGTTATCATAACTATGACGACCATAATGCAATATTCAGTCCGCTATAATTTACATGTTTGCAATAATTATAAAAATATGTTTAGGACCAAGAGCGACTATAATTTATGATTAGATTATTGTTGTTCTAATTATTTTGTCTCAGCGTGCATATGGAGCTGTCGGTATGATTATTTTTCTGTTTCCATCGAAAGAGGAAATATGATTTTTCATATTTTCACTAATACATATCTGAAACCGAACATATCTTTCGACCAGATCTCCCGCTATTTCTACCGTTCATCGTCGTTCGAGATTAAACACTGAATTAATCACGCGTTAAGTAAACACAAGTTTGTATGTGATGTCCCGCCTTCATTTGATCCTCGCGGTTTCCAGCAACGACCTTTCATTCTCTAACGCGCGCGCGCGCAAAAATCATCAGTTCGTTCTCGATATCTTTCTTTCTTTTTTTTTTCGAGCTAACGCGACTTGCGAGTTATTCTTCTGGATAATTGTGCGTCGTCGCAACGAAACTGGTCCCGAGCGAGGCGATACGGCGAATGTATTATATTGTAATTAGCGATGAATGTACCTTCTCAAGGAGTCTTATATAAGCCATTGTGTAAGGTTGTATTAGACGTAATGTCACGATTCCGGAAATATGTACCTAAGTCCTACTCGTAATGCCGCGCGGCCAAATCCAAATGTAATTATATTCATTGTGATTCAATATAATCTATGTAATATATTGAAATAAAACTGTCTATGCTAAGTGACTCACACACCTCTAACGTCGCCGAGATCAAACTGCGAGATCGGAGCTTATCTTTCGCACACTTCATTCCGACGGATCTCCCACGTTTTAATGTCACCATAGAGTTCTCATCTACACTTTCTTAAATTTTACAACTCATTGACTGAGGATGCGCGAAGTAAGTAAATAAAATTCGTTATGCATGTAAAAAGTTACATTTTATTTGTAGAAGTTGATAAGGCTTTCTCTACAATATATAGTATATAGTATCCCATTTATTGGCACAATCGCTAGTAGTTATCGACATAATCGTTTCATCGTGGGAATAAATAGGATGGCTAATTTATAGATACGTTCTAATAAACATCGAGCAACAGTAACATTACATCAATGTTATAATGTCTCATTCGACAATATAAATATTATACACAATAGGTATTGTGTATAACACATATTGTACTTGCATTGTTGAGTGGGAAATGTAACATTGATGTAAATGTTACTATTACTTGTTTACCGAGATTGGAAATATATTACGATATCAAAAACAAAGATATTTAATATCTAAAAAATCTATAATAAACTTATTCGTACAACGAATAATGTATTTAGTCATTTATACTTTACGTATATGAATCGTAAAATATAAAACAGCAGAAAAAGGATTCGGCCTGTATTCACGTTCTGAAATCAACGCTAAATTTAGGCATTTAAATTTCCAGTTGGCATCTAGACGTAATATTCATATTAAGTGGACAATTGAACATTTAATTTAGATTTTTTTAGAACGTTAAATACGGACTGTTATTGTTTTTCTTAATTTGTTTCTGATATCGCAGGAATGTGCAATATCTTCCTGTAGATATTTTGTCTCAATACGGTTTGGACACATTTTTCTCGGTATATGCAATGAAAGAACTGAAAATTACCAAATAATGAAGAATAAAATGATGCTGTATTTATCGGTTGTGTTCCCATCAAGAGAGTCCAAACCACATCGAAAACAAATGGATATTTGCCGTCTTTCTCTTCTTCGAAATTTCTTTTAACAATTTAACTAATTCCATTTACGCTTCTCCTCCTACGTCCATGATCGGCGATTTTCATTTTTCTTTCTTTTTTTAGAGGGATAAGTTCATACTGCTCACAAGATGCGTACAATCTTAAAAATATAATGATATCAAAACCGTTTTGACAAAATGAATTTTATACTTGTTATATTCGATGTTAGAAATCAGAAGATTTATTAGAACAAAAAATTCCGTCATTAAAATTTTGAACGAAAGTGAAACTAAAGTGAAAGAAGAGGAAAAAAAATTGAATTCTTGAATAGCTGTGTGAAATAAATATAATTATAACAAATAACAATAAATAAATGGATTTCCCCTCCGTGACTTTACGCAATCTTAATTATTTTGAACTTGTGGTTTTGACCATTCAACGTTCAAAATAAGATGGTCATATCCATAGCCGTCTAGAGTAGTAATCGCTCTCGCAGCATCAGCTCTATGTTTAAAATGGACGTAAGCAAAGCCTTTGCAGAGGTTGGAAAGCTTTTCTTTTGCTAAGAATTGCTTCACCACAGATCCGAAGGGCTTGACGAGTTCGTCCAAATCCGCATCAGTGGTGCTCTGCGAGAGGTTGGAGATGCGGATGGCTGTCGTGTCGTCTCGTCGCTGCATCTGCATAGAGTCACCTCGTTTGTTGCCGCCGTCGCGCATACCGGGCGGCACGTACTTGCCACCTTGCGGTTTAAGTTCAGCCATCGCACCCGGTACGGCCGTATTCCCGAGCGGCTTCTTGTCGTCGGGTACTTTCCCTGGAACAGAGAGCAGAGCGCGCATTTAGAGATTTACCGACATGACTAATAACAAATGTATCAACACAAACGTTCCGGTAACAATATTGGGATCGACGTTACATGTTTATATTTTACGTCGCTTACCTCCAGCGAGAACGGTGTCCTTGTACGGACACTTGGATGTCCAATGATCGCCGTTGCAATTACGACACTTGACGACGCCTTTGTCGCCCATGCTCTTCAATTTGTCCAAGGAGTCCTCCTCCACCTTGTTCTCCTCCTCTTTGCTGGAGATGAACTGCATAAATACATCTTCGCCGATAACGGTCGTTGCTGGATTAGGTCCCGGCCTGTCGTCGGCGGAATCGCCGAACTTGGCCCAATTCTTACGCGCTGCGATTGTCTTTGATACTACGCGACGTTCCACCTTGAAAGTACGTATTACTTTCATCTTCTTGTTGTCCTGATTATATTTGTATTCTGTGAGTATTTTGTGGCCATTCTCGTAGATCTCTGACGGTGCGGGCAGTGCTCCTCCCTCCTCTTCGACCTCATCGGCCCAGCTTGACTTTACCTCGGACGCAACTGGCATTTCTGGAAAAGTTTAGGCACATATGACCACTATTCTTAATGTGTTGGAACATGTGTATAATGTGTGTAAATATCAAATCTCAAAATGTTAAGGCAATCAGAGATATTTTCCTTTATGAATATATATTAAATATATTATATATTTTTAATGATATACATCAATCAATGTTATTGAAAAGCTTATTTATCTGTATGACACTATCTGGTAATTGGATATTACACAAGTTATATCGTATGATGGAATAAAATATCTTGTGGGAGGACATGGAAGACTGATATTGATATAAATATCTTGGGTAAATATCTATTATGTATACTTAACCTATTACAGACATCTCAGTCATCTTATTTTTATAATAAATGAAACGTTATTAGAGAGAGAGAGAGAGAGAGAGCCAGAAAGTGTACACAAATGCTGAAACAAATTAGACATGAAATTATACAATATTTTATTTGTAGAATATTTAATAATATCATTACAGATGTATCTTATTTAAAATATATTTCTTTGTGAGTAGTACAAAATATGCTACTCATCTGTCTTTTGTAATTTCATTTTATCAGAGTATTATTTGATAATTTTTAATAAGTGTAAGTATTTCGTGTGTAAAAAACTAAATGGTCACTCTTTGTTATTAGAACTGTATAAAATCTCAGTATTAAAACAGATTCTGTTTATTAGAAACTTTCCAGAAATTAGAACGTTGCAAGTTTCTTGTTGCATTATTGTTCATAAACATATTCCTTGCTTTTCTGGTTACATATTTCTAAATCTTGTACATATACTTTATACATATTATCATATTCAAGTAATGAATACATAAGAATTGGTATTTCCAAGTGTTTTTAGAAATTCGTGAGATTTCGCCAATCTCAGTCTGGGGCAAATTAGAATTTCTCGTATGAAAAATAATGATGAAATCTATCCAAATTTAAACTAGCCAATCTAATTTCAAGAATATATCAGATCCAGACAACAAAGAATGACAGAGCATATACAAGATTCCATACAAGGAATACTATCTTGTTATAATAAATGAATTGAATAATTCCTGCAAGTAGCAAGGATAACACTAAAATACTTCAATTTAATATCTCTTCATGGTATTTATCAAATGAGATATTGATCTTGTAATACAAAACTAAGAATATATAAATATACAAAGTTTTATAAAATCAGACCACAAGCTTTGTAGAGATATAAAGCACATTAAAACAAATATATATTGTTGATATATATTGTACTTTTCAACATCTTGCTTTGACAAACTAGAAATTTTATAAATGCAAAAATAAACAAATGCTGCAAAACTTGGTCCATATTTTATGTTCAAAATAAGAATAAATCGAAATAAATTACAAAAGCAACTTTTACGATAAATGTTCAGAAATTTCTATATTAATAACTGAATGTTACAACAATTTCACACTTGTAGATCAACAAATTATATAATTTATGTAGCATATAAAGCACAACACACAATATTTGGAAATAATGCATTCTATTTTTTAAGTGTTTAAGCCGAAAATGAAAAACATTTAATATTGTTTGCATTATGTTAGACGACACATGCTATATGTATATAACTTACAATAATGTCGGCAATCAACTTCCGAAAATCGCGATTTATCGTAATATATTTATGTAATTTATATAATAATATATCTAACGTAATTTATGTAATTTTAACGAAGCAAATACATATAATATTTTGATATACGAATAAACTGAATTGATAATAATACGTGTTTAACCTTCTAAGGCCGTGAGGTGACTATAGTTATCGCTACATGTACTCCTCAGAAAGCCGTGTGATGCTTTAAAGCATCGCGAAGTTATTCGCAAAGATTTTCATAAAGCAATATATATTTTTCTTTATCTTTTTATTCCAATATTTAAGTCTTTATGTATAATTTTGTTTTGTATAGAGAATATGCTCGACTTGCTGGGAATTGGAGTTAAGGAAAAATTCGTCCCCAAAGGGTTAACGACCAAACGAGGCTAAACATCGCTTTAAAAAGAAAAAAGAAGGAAAATGTAATATATTATATATCAAAATATTACCTCTAATAAACTTGAAATCACATTAACAGCAGGCAGACGATCAGTATCGACAAGTCACGACGAAACGAGCGAAATGCACATCAAACTCAGCAAACCTTGGCTGCGTTCAGTAGAACAAAATGGGTAACACGAGTTTCCCAAAAAATGGCGGAGATAAGGTTGGTATCAACGAAAACTTCTAGACGACATAGTTTTAGTTCCTAAAGGTTAGGCCCAGCTCCACAACTTGCTTTAAACGGAGTTTAAAGCAAGTTGTGGAACTGGACCTTTGTAATAATGGCTGCGTTCAGTAGAACAAAATGATCAGTGAGCGCTTAGTGATTATTGTCTGTGATTGGAGCATTCTTTTAGATTCTTCATAGACCCAGAAGTATTAACCAATCAGGAGCGAGATTCAGTGGAAAATCTAGTAATGTTGTCCAACTGTTGAGTTTGCTGAATACAGCCATTGATATCCAAAATTGCAGTGGAATACATATTTTACTGAGAACCAACAACTGCACACACTCCCGGAGGAATACGATGACTGCGTTCCGACATTCACTGCCAATATTGAAAATCTATAGTATACGTGACACAAACTGTGTATTTTTAGTATACTGGCAGTGAATATCGGAACGCAACCTATGGTCTGTTCCTTGTAGCTGCACTGTTGAACTGGTGCAATAAGTTTGTACACCCGTGATCTAAAAGGAATGTGCACCGATTTTTTGTTAACTTCGGAACGCGTTCCAACATAAAGAGAAAGACAATCACTAATTCATACGTCAGCGCTGTCACTTAGGGTTAGCGCTGTCTCCTAACGGTTAGGATACAGGCCTGGTTCTCGCACCAAAATAAAGTCTTCTCAAAACCCTACATTTTCGACTACATAGACGACTCTCTACTCCCAGTAGAAGCGGAGATATCAACGGAGAAAGGTTGGAAAACTTTAATCTTCGATATCCCCTAAACGGTTAGAGATACAGGCCTGGTTCTGGCACCAAAATAAAGTCCTCTCAAAAACCTACATTTTTGACTACATAGACGACTCTCTACTCTCAGTAGAAGCGTAGATATCAACGGAGAAAGGTTGGAAAACTTTAATCTTCGATATCTCCTAAACGGTTAGAGATACAGGCCAGGTTCTAGCACCAAAATAAAGTACTTTCAAAACCCTACATTTTCGACTACATGGACGATTCTCTACTCCCAGTAGAAGCGGAGATATCAACGGAGAAAGATTGGAAAACTTTAATCTTCGATATCTCCTAAACGGTTAGAGATACAGGCCTGGTTCTGGCACCAAAATAAAGTCCTCTCAAAACCTTACATTTTCGACTACATGGACGACTCCCTACTCCCAGTAGAAGCGGAGATATCAACGGAGAAAGGTTGGAAAATATTAATCTTCGATATCTCCTAAACGGTTAGAGATACAAAAATGAAGGTTTTGAGAGGACATTATTTTGGTGCCAGAGCCAGCCCTGTATCTCTAACCGTTTAGGAGATATCGAAGATTAAAGATTTCCAATATTTCTCCATTGAAATCTCAGCTTCTACTGGGAGTAGAGAGTCGTCATTCTAGTCGAAAATGTAGGGTTTTGAGAGGACTTTATTTTGGTACCAGAGCCAGGCCTGTATATCTAACGGTTTAGGAGATATCGAAGATTAAAGTTTTCCAACGTTTCTCCGTTGATATCTTCGCTTCTACTGGGAGTAGAGAGTCGTCGTTGTAGTTGAAAATGTAGGGTTTTGAGAGGACTTTATTTTGGTACCAGAGCCAGGCCTGTATCTCTAACCGTTTAGGAGATATCGAAGGTTAAATTTTTCCAACCTTTATCCGTCGAGTTCCAGCTTTCCTCCGTCGATATCTCCGCTTCTACTGGGAGTAGAGAGTTTGCCATGTAGTCGAAAATGTAGGGTTTTGAAAGGACTTTAATTTGGTACCAGAGCCAGGCCTGTATCTCTAACCGTTTAGAAGATATCGAAGATTAAACTTTTCCAGCATTTCTCCGTCGATATCCAGCATTCCTCCGTCGGTATCTCCGCTTCTACTGGGAGTAGAGAGTTTGCCATGTAGTCGAAAATGTAGGGTTTTGAATGGACTTTAATTTGGTACCAGAGCCAGGACTGTATCTCTAACCGTTTAGGAGATATCGAAGATTAAAGTTTTCCAACCTTTCTCCGTCGATTTCCAGCCTTCCTCCGTCGATATCTCCGCTTCTACTGGGAGTAGAGAGTCGCCATTGTAGTCGAAAATGTAGGGTTTTGAAAGGACTTTAATTTGGTACCAGAGCCAGGCCTGTATCTCTAACCGTTTAGGAGATATCGAAGATTAAAGTTTTCCAACCTTTCTCCGTCGATTTCCAGCCTTCCTCCGTCGGTATCTCCGCTTCTACTGGGAGTAGAGAGTTTGCCATGTAGTCGAAAATGTAGGGTTTTGAAAGAACTTTAATTTGGTACCAGAGCCATGCCTGTATCTCTAACCGTTTAGGAGATATCGAAGATTAAAGTTTTCCAACCTTTCTCCGTCGATTTCCAGCCTTCCTCCGTCGATATCTCCGCTACTACTGGGAGTAGAAAGTTTGCCATGTAGTCGAAAATGTAGGGTTTTGAAAGTACTTTAATTTGGTACCAGAGCCAGGCCTGTATCTCTAACCGTTTAGGAGATATCGAAGATTAAAGTTTTCCAACCTTTCTCCGTCGATTTACAGCCTTCCTCCGTCGATATCTCCGCTTCTACTGGGAGTAGAGAGTTTATCATGTAGTAGAAAATGTAGGGTTTTGAAAGGACTTTAATTTGGTACCAGAGCCAGGCCTGTATCTCTAACCGTTTAGGAGATATCGAAGATTAAAGTTTTCCAACCTTTCTCCGTCGATTTCCAGCATTCCTCCGTCGATATCTCCGCTTCTACTGGGAGTAGAGAGTTTGCTATGTAGTCGAAAATGTAGGGTTTTGAAAGGACTTTAATTTGGTAACAGAGCCAGGCCTGTATCTCTAACCGTTTGGGAGATATCGAAGATTAAAGTTTTCCAACCTTTCTCCGTCGATTTCCAGCCTTCCTCCTTCGATATCTCCGCTTCTGCTGGGAGTAGAGAGTTTGCCATGTAGTCGAAAATGTAGGGTTTTGAAAGGACTTTAATTTGGTAACAGAGCCAGGCCTGTATCTCTAACCGTTTAGGAGATATCGAAGGTTAAAGTTTTCCAACCTTTCTCCGTCGATTTCCAGCCTTCCTCCGTCGATATCTCCGCTTCTACTGGGAGTAGAGAGTTTGTGATGTAGTCGAAAATGTAGGGTTTTGAAAGGACTTTAATTTGGTACCAGAGCCAGGCCTGTATCTCTAACCGTTTAGGAGATATCGAAGATTAAAGTTTTCCAGCCTTTCTCTATCGATATCCAGCCTTCATCCGTCGATATCTCCGCTTCTACTGGGAGTAGAGAGTCGTCAATGTAGTCCAAAATGTAGGGTTTTGAAAGGGCTTTAATTTGGTACCAGTCCGAAGCCTGTATCTCTAACAGTTTAGGAGATATCGAAGGTTAAAGTTTTCCAGCCTTTCTCCATCGATATCCAGCTTTCATCCGTCGATATCTCCGCTTCTACTGGGAGTAGAGAGTCGTCCATGTAGTGCAAAATGTAGGGTTTTGAAAGGGCTTTAATTTGGTACCTGTCCGAAGCCTGTATCTCTAACCGTTTAGGAGATATCGAAGGTTAAAGTTTTCCAACCTTTCTCCGTCGATATCTCCGCTTCCACTGGGAGTAGAGAGTCGTCCATGTAGTCCAAAATGTAGGGTTTTGAAAGGGCTTCAATTTGGTACCTGTCCGAAGCCTGTATCTCTAACCGTTTAGGAGATATCGAAGGTTAAAGTTTTCCAACATTTCTCCGTCGATATCCAGCCTTCATCCGTCGATATCTCCGCTTCTACTGGGAGTAGAGAGTCGTCCATGTAGTGCAAAATGTAGGGTTTTGAAAGGGCTTTAATTTGGTACCTGTCCGAAGCCTGTATCTCTATCCGTTTAGGAGATATCGAAGGTTAAAGTTTTGCAACCTTTCTCCGTCGATATCCAGTCTTCATTCGTCGATATCTCCGCTTCTACTGGGAGTAGGGAGTCGTCCATGTAGTCCAAAATGTAGGGTTTTGAAAGGGCTTTAATTTGGTAACAGAGCCAGGCCTGTATTTCTAACCGTTTAGGAGATATCGAAGGTTAAAGTTTTCCAACCTTTCTCCGTCGATTTCTAGCCTTCCTCCGTCGATATCTCCGCTTCTACTGGGAGTAGAGAGTTTGTGATGTAGTCGAAAATGTAGGGTTTTGAAAGGACTTTAATTTGGTAACAGAGCCAGGCCTGTATCTCTAACCGTTTAGGAGATATCGAAGGTTAAATTTTTCCAACTTTTCTCCGTCGATTTCCAGCCTTCCTCCGTCGATATCTCCGCTTCTACTGGGAGTAGAGAGTTTGTGATGTAGTCGAAAATGTAGGGTTTTGAAAGGACTTTAATTTGGTAACAGAGCCAGGCCTGTATCTCTAACCGTTTAGGAGATATCGAAGGTTAAAGTTTTCCCACCTTTCTCCGTCGATTTCCAGCCTTCCTCCGTCGATATCTCCGCTTCTACTGGGAGTAGAGAGTTTGTGATGTAGTCGAAAATGTAGGGTTTTGAAAGGACTTTAATTTGGTACCAGAGCCAGGCCTGTATCTCTAACCGTTTAGGAGATATCGAAGATTAAAGTTTTCCAGCCTTTCTCTATCGATATCCAGCCTTCATCCGTCGATATCTCCGCTTCTACTGGGAGTAGAGAGTCGTCAATGTAGTCCAAAATGTAGGGTTTTGAAAGGGCTTTAATTTGGTACCAGTCCGAAGCCTGTATCTCTAACCGTTTAGGAGATATCGAAGGTTAAAGTTTTCCAACCTTTCTCCGTCGATATCTCCGCTTCTACTGGGAGTAGAGAGTCGTCCATGTAGTGCAAAATGTAGGGTTTTGAAAGGGCTTTAATTTGGTACCTGTCCGAAGCCTGTATCTCTAACCGTTTAGGAGATATCGAAGGTTAAAGATTTTCCAACCTTTCTCCGTCGATATCTCCGCTTCTACTGGGAGTAGAGAGTCGTCCATGTAGAGCAAAATGTTGGGTTTTGAAAGGGCTTTAATTTGGTACCTGTCCGAAGCCTGTATCTCTAACCGTTTAGGAGAT